GGGGGAGGAGAGGAGAGGAAGAAGGAGAAGAGCGAATAACTCTCGCTTGAAAACTTAACCCGCCGTTTTCCGTTCCCACGACCTCAGCTGCAGGTGCGGCGAGGATTAGCGGCCCGCACGGAGCCACGTGGACACTGCGGCGTCCCGCCCCCCCCCGCCCCCCGATTCCGCGAGCCGTGGGGGAGCGGGGAGAGAAGGAGAGAGCGGGCGCGCCAGCCCCGTAAGCCGAGCTCTTGCCGGCCGCCTGCCGTCCCCAGTCCCCATCCTCTTCCCCAGCTTTGGTTTTGCACGCGATCGTGCGGACGAAGCGGCGGAGCCCGCTCGGGGGCCCTCCATCCTTGGAGCCTTTTCGGCCCCGAGTGCGAATCCGGCACGGAAAGGGCGGCGGGGGCGGCCGGGGGGAAGCGTGAACGGACGGATCCGGGGCTGCCAAGGTGTCAGGGTAGCCCGGCTGGACCTGCTGCCCACCCCACCCTCCTGGCGGCTGTTGCGTGCTTAGCTGTTCTCGGCGCCGCTGCGGGCGGAGGAGGGCTCGGCCATCGCCTCCCCTCAGCTTTGCCCCCATCGGGAAGCCCGCCGCGGAAGGACTTGGCGCGCAAGGACGCGCGGCGTTGCGCAGGGTTACCGAGGAGCCCCTCTTCGAGGGGGCCGCAGCGCTTCCCCGCCGCCTGGACCCATCCCGAGGCGAGGGCGGGTGCCAGCCTCTCCTCCCCCCCCGCCCCCGCCCGCCGGCACCGGGCTCTGGGACAGACGCGACGTGCCCTGCTTAACGAATGAATGAAGGAAAGAAGGAATGAGCCTTCCCCGGCCGGGACGCCTGGCCCGCCCTGTCAGTTGCCGGCCTTGGAGGCGGAGACACCCGGCTCTGGCTAAGCTTGGCTGAGTTCAGGCAGGCAGGCAGGCAGGAGGTCCCGGGCTGCCCGCTTCTTCCCTCCGGAGCCGCTGATCGCTCGTCGTCTTGGCTGAGCCGACTTTCCTTGCCCGTCGCCGCCACGGAAAGCCGGGCAGAAGCTTAATTTAAGCAGCGGGTTTGACTCCTGCGGCTCTGAACCGGCTGCGTTTGTTTCCTTTCCTCCCCGGGGAAGATCAGCCTCGGGCTGGCCCACATTGACGGAGACGGAGGTCTGCGTGAAGAAGAGCTCAGGTGGGGTTTTAACTTAAGCGGCCGGGAAGATAGATACCTTCATGGGCATGGAGGAAAGAGGTGCCCTTGAATTTGCTGCCCAGGCTGGACCCTTGTGGGGTTAGGGTTGTGTGAAGCTTGGGGAGGGTGAAAGGGCTGTTTTGCAAATAAAAATAAACATTAAAAAAGAGTGGCTGATTTGCCCCTTGCAAACATGACTCGGTGAAGATAAGGTATGAATAACAAGTGGGTGAATTGACACCCCCCCCCAAAAAAAAGATGAATCTTATTTTAATCAAGGTGACATTCTCAACCAGTCGCTGAAATTATCTGTTATTATGCCCATTTTACACATTTTAACTGTAAGCCAATTGGAATCCATGGAAGTCAAGACTTTTGCATAAATAAGTACATTTGTGGGACACAGGTTAAGAAACAGTAAATTATGCAATTTTATGATTCCACGGTTGGGTCCAAGTTCAAAGTGAGGCTTTAATCCTGATTTGGATCCTACTGACCTTCTTGCGTAAGGATGGGTTGTGCCAACGTAAAGCCATCCCAGAAACAGTGGCTGCCATGGAGAGAGAAAATAACTTTTCCCAAGCTGTGCAGTCGGGGCTTGGCAAGAACCCCCAAATCACGCAGCTCTTTAGTTGCAAGGGGTTAAGCGTTGCAGGATTTCAGGCACCAATCAGGGATGCAGGACTCGGCTAGCTTGGTCTGAGCATCATCCCCATCCTCAGGCTGGGTTGAGATGGGATACTGACATTCAAGGTGAACTTGTGAGTGGGATGGAAAACTGAGGCCCTGCATGACTTAGGGGCCAGATATGCAGGAGGAGATAGTTGGGAAACGGGATGTTTGGTTGCCTTGTAGGATGGTCTGACTTCTCTGGAATACCTCTTAGGTTTACAGTCTTCCTTGCAGATTTAGTTCTTGGCATTTTAGCAGTTAAATTGTTAAAAAGCCTTAGCGGGGAAGGGAAAAACCATCAGAGGCTTTTGTGAGCTCTCATCAGCTGGAGTGAAAAAATACTGGCTAACGTGCATCAGGCAGTTTCCTTATGTAACTGTGTGGTTTCACTGCTGCAGGCAAAGGGCAGTGAAAAGAAGGCATTTTTGGAGATGCCGGCACAGAACAGAGAGAGACTCTCAAGGCTGTGAAAAATTGATTTTTTTCTTCCTGCTCAGGATGATGCCACCAAAATTTTCCACATTGCTTATTAGAGGCTCAGGGTCTTGCTGCAGCTGTTCTGTCAGAAGCCTCAGGTTTGGGGTTGTTGAGATGGGCCTCTTCCATGTGTGGGCCCCCAACCAATGCTTGGCACAAAGAAGTGGGTGCAATGAAACGCTCTCAGCCATATGAGGGAGAAATGGTGTCTGCCCATGACTTCTTTTTCATGTTTACATCATGTGCCTCATGGATGAGTGCACATGGTGCAGCCATGGACTATTGTACACTCACCCTTCCTTGCACTTTCCTTCCTTCCCTCCCCCCCCCCCCTTCCTTCCTTCCTCCTCCCCCTTCCTTCCTTCCTTCCTTCCTCCTCCCCCCTTCCTTCCTTCCTCCTCCCCCTTCCTTCCTTCCTTCCTTCCTTCCTTCCTTCCTTCCTTCCTCCTCGCCCTTCCTTCCTTCCTTCCTTCCTTCCTCCTCCCCCAATTCCTTCCTTCCTTCCTTCCTTCCTTCCTTCCTTCCTTCCTTCCTTCGCATCCAGCTCCCATCTTTTGTGTACCCTTCCCATCAAACTGGCTGCTGTAATCTTGGTCATTGGACTGTTTCCTTTGCCTAATATTTCCCCATTTCCTGGCTTCAGACGGGCCTCTTACGCCTTCATTCCCACAATCACAAATGTTCTTACCCACAGGATGAAGCAGGAGCAGCCGTGACCACGCTGGAGATTGAGTGACCTGCTGTTTGTCATCAAGGATGGCTGCCTTGGGGTTGTTCCTTGTCTGGAGCCTGCTCTTTCCTGCCTTACTCCTGGCATTGCACCTCCCGACTCCAGAGAACTCTACCTGGCACTTGCCTCTGAATTCTGTCCCCAAGTCCCCTCAGTTGGAAGTCCCTTCCAAAGACCCTCCTCGAAGGGCCCTGCCAGTCCTTCCCCGCTCTGATGCCTCTGCCCATGAGTTCTCTAGTGGAGACGGGGAATTGAAGAATGAGAACAGCCAAGGTGCCAGTCCGGTGGGCCACCCTAGAGCTACAAAATCCAAGAGGAAGTTCAAGCTCCTTGCAAAGGGGGCGCCAGCTGGCTCTTCTAGTGGAAGTTTAGCTCCCCACTTGACTGAGGAGAGCCTCATTCTGCCAACCGAAGGCTTTTTCACTGTTCAGGGAGAGGTTGAGGGTACCGGAGGTATAATTTGGGAACAAAGTCCAAAACAGAGGAAGAAAAAGCTGCCTCATCCTTCTTCTAGCATATCAAAGAGAAACATGTCCACCTCTGTGGCGGCCCCTCTTCCCACTTCACCCGTACTAGAGGCCTCAGAATTACTTGTCTCCCAGGAGGGATCCTTGCCCAATCTCCACCAAGCAGGGTTCAAACACGGCCTCCCAGCAACTACCTTAAGCCCCAGGCCCACTGTGTCCACCATTCCTTTGGCAACATTCCCTGTTAACAGGTCTCTTGTCAAATGGGAGGTAGTGGAAGATGCCGAACCTGAGGTTGGTGCTTCAAGGGGATGGTTGGAAAACAGTGTGCCGGAGCAGGAAATGCTGGGCCGGAATCTAACCACAGTAAAATATTTGGCTTCATACAAGAGTAGACAGGTCTACAGTGGCCTCCTTGGCCAGGAAGAGCTTTCTACGTCTCCTCTCAGGCCTGTGGTTCAGGCAGCTGGAGATGCTCAGGATCTCCCTGGGCAAGACAGGGCCACACCGCCCGTGACTTCCCCCTCTCAGGAAGGCCTAGTTACCCCACTGATGGGGAAGGGCCTTAGGCAAAGTCCAGCAAGCTCCAATCTGCCTATTTCAGACGACCACTTCCCTGTCCCTTTCACCCCTTCGCTGTCAGGGGTGACCACCCAAGAACCAAATCCTCATATAAGAAGCACTCATTGGAATCTGATCATTGATACCACCCAGAAGCCAGGACTTTGGAACACGGCGGGAATGGAAACCACCATCTTTCAAGGCAGCTTTGCTACCTCAGGTAGGTTTAGATTTGCCACTGGTTGGTTTGTTTTTGGTGTACTTAAAGGGATCTTCTGCCCATTGAAAGTTCTCGCCCAGTCCCACACACCTGCCCTGTGAATAGGAGGAGGATGGAGCAGGAGAGGGCAGGAAGGTGGCAACAGCCATTGGCCAAGTATTATTGGACACACAAGGAATTTGTCTTGGTGTAAATACTCTCAGTATACATAAAAGAAAAGGTACATTCGTTAAGAATTCAGAATCATCACGTACAACGCTTGATGATAGTCATAGGGTACAATCAACAATCCCTAAGAGAAGAGACACGCCAAATGCCGTGGGGAGCAGGGAGCTGGCCCGACGATAGGGATGCAAAAAAAAGTTGGGAGTTCAGGAGAAAACCTGGTTAAGGATGCTTCGGAGGGCACAAATTAAAGAGGAGAATCATGAAGCAAGTAGTCCTCAACTTACAGCCATTATTTTAGCAAGTGGTCAAAGTTACATTGGCAGTGATCCGCACACAAGCATCCCATTAGTCCTGTGGTCAAAATTCAGCCACTTGGCAACTAGCATGCAATTTACCATGGTGGCAGCATCCTGGGGTCAGTTGCCATTTGCAAATGGTTAGTTGCCATTTGCAACTAACTCCCAACTAACTTCTGACAAGTGCAGTCAATGGGGGAAGCTGGATTTGCTTAATTGTTCTGTGATTCATGTAACAATTGCAGCAATTTGCTTAACAACCCTGGGGTTAAAAAAATAAGAATATTGGGCACAATTCACTTAACAACTGCCTTGCTTGGCAATGGAAATTTGGATCCCAGTGGTGGTTTGTAAATCGAGGACTACCTGTAAGATAAATGCATCTTTCACTTCCAAGAATAGCATCCCAGCAACCAGATTATAAACAATCAAAATTGGCAGGGAAAGGATTAACCAACTTAGAAGGCACTGTCAGGAGCCTGGATGCACCTTTTCTGACTAACAAACTGTATTAAAATGCAGAAGTTGAGCTGAGCTCACCGAAGCTTATGCCTTTTAATTAAATTTGTTTATGTCAGAAAAAATGCTATCAAGAGTCGTTCTAACTTACAAGGTAAATGCCTCTCTATAAGCTTCTTTACTGGCTACAGGATGCTAGAGATAATTATTAGTTTTATAAAATAAACATTCTGGACCTTGTTAGCCCAGAGTACTGAATACCATTCCACTTCACTATCTGTTTGAATCCTCCTCTTCTTTCAATAAGCAGCTCTTTCCTCCTTGGTGATGTTTGGGCATTTCCAGAAACATGATCGTAAGTAACAATCTCCAATAACAACACAACCAGATGGGGAGCCTAAAAACAAAATGCCAGTCTGATTTCCACACCCACCCACCAGTTTTTCATAAGAGGAACAGTTAACTAAGGAACTCACTTCAGAGGCCAGAAAAAAAAAAGGCTGGAAAAATACATTCAACATTACCCAGAGGTGAAATTCGGAAAATAATATGGAACTCAGAGAAATGAGGAGGGTCCGGCTGGTTGTTTAACATCCAAACAAGACCCACGGTTTTTTGTTGTTGTTGAAGATCACATCGATTTCAAGTGTCATTCTTTGTTACTTGGTTTGGTATGAGAACATCACTGGTGTGATGGTTGTGAATATTTAATGCATCTGGAAGGGAGGGGTGTGTACACTGAAGTTGCATTCAACTTGACCCTGCATATAATATGTGTTCAGCTGGCAGGCTGGCATGATTAAGTGACTCCTTTCATTTGAATGCCAACGTATTTGGTTGCGATGAAAGAAACATGGGATGGGCAGGCAGGTGGGAATAATAGGAAGAGCTGGTAGGGATATTTCAAGGGTGGGGTTTTTTTGGAGCTGATGATGGATTGAGAGGAGGGGGAGGTGATCTGTAAACCTGTATAAGGTAGCTTAATGTTATGATTAACCTGATCATGGGTTGTATTTGTTATTACAAAGCAGTTAGTTGATCTTGAGAAACCTAAGTAAGATAAGCTGGTTTGTACTAGGCTGGGAAGTTTTTTAAAAACCCAACTCCTGCCTTTGGTGTGATGTTTCAAAGAGCTGCTAGAAGAATCTCAGTCATCCTCATCCTCTGTTCGGAATGACCCTCCTTGAGAACAGAACTTCTGAGACGAACTAGGGCAGAAGAAGGAGGTCAAAGGGGGAGAGATCTCTTTTGGAGCAGAAGCAGATGGAGAGTCTAAAGCAGGGGTCCCCAACCACCGGGCCGCGGACCGGTACTGGTCCGTGGAACATTTCCTACCGGGCCGCCGGTTTGCTGGGCGCCGCCATCTTGTTTGACGAGAAAGTGCTTCCAGGTGAGCTTTTCCGGTTGGAAAGCGGCGTTTGGGTCCTGAAGGAATCCTCGCGCCTTAGTTTCATCGAAGGGGGGGGGGCTTCGAACGAAACTAAGGCGTGAGGATTCTTTCAGCACCCAAGGCAAGGCGAGCCGAGCGACCGTCCCGAAGCCGTCCCGAAGCGAAGCCCATCGACAAAGGTACAAAGGAGGAGTTAAAGGTGGCGGGGAGAAGCGGGGGACAGCTGGCTGGCCGGTCGCTCGGCTCGCCTTGCCTTGTCATGCGTGCTGATGCCAGTACTGGGCCGCGGATCATTTTTTGATGCCGGTAACGGGCCGTGGCACAAAAAAGGTTGGGGACCACTGGTCTAAAGGACAGCCTTATCATTAGATGTCCCAAGTCTCAGGTTTGAGGTGCAATGCCAAGGAAGCCAATTATTTAATAATTTAAAGTCAGGAGTGATGGGAAAGATACCAGCAAGCTTTTCCATCAAGGGAGGTCAAACTAACTTGGGGGAGATTTTTGCACTTTGGCTCCTTTTGCTGTTCTCCCTCTGCCAAGACAACATGTAGGCCAACCTTTGAGACTGTCAGTTTTTGGTTCTACTCAAGGCCTTTTCCTTTTTTTTCCAGGGACCGGAGAAATGCCTGATGTTGCAGAGCCCCAACGAGTCAGGGGAGCTGTGAACCCCAAAGTCTCTCTCACATATTTTGGCTCCTCTACCCCTGGACAGAGCCCTTCAAAATTGCAGGAAGATGCAGGAATCAAGCATTCAGGTGAGTAAGAACACCATGCGATTTTCTAACGTGGAGAGAACCTGGCTAGATCAGACCAAAGTCTGCCTAGGTCAGCATCTTGTTTCCCACAATGACCAAGTTCATACACAGTGTGTGTGTAAGGGAGTGTGTGTGTATGTGTGTGACTAGAATCTCCTTGTTCAGACCCAGTCCCATGGAATTAGAGATCAGCTGAAACATGCAGTGGCGTGGAATTCCTGTTAACAGCCACGGTTCATTTTAAGATGTGGGACTGCCATGGTTGAATACCAGAGTAGGCCTTGAGAACTGGGTTCAGCTCTGCATCCAGTTGTGATTTTCACTGGGGGTCTTTGTCACTCATTATTTCTTAATCCAGTGTATTTAAAAAGCCTGTTGAATGAGTGAAAAGAATGAACCTTATATCAATCGGAACAGAGCTGGAAGGGGACCATTTCAGACAAGTGACTGTCCAGTCTCTTCTCAAACCCACCCACCCGCCCCCGTGATGAAGCACCCATCACTTCTGAAGGCAAGCTTTTCCAGGGGTTAATTGTTGTGTTTCTCCTTAATTCCAGGTTGCTTCTCTCATTGATTAATTTCCATTGTTTTTTGTCTTGCCCTCTGGTGCTTTGGAAAATAGATTGACCCCCTCCTCTTTGTGGCAACCTCTCAGAGACCAGGATATTGCTATCATGTCCTCCCTAGTCCTTCTTTTCTCTAGACTAGCCAAACACAAGTCCTGCAACTGTTCTTCATATGTTTTTGTCCCAAGGCCTTTAAGCCTCCTAGTTGCTCTTTTTCCAAAGTCTCAACATCTTTTTTATAACGTGGGGATCAAAACTGGGTGCAGTATTCCAGGTTTGGCCTTATTAAGGTTTTATAACTAGAATTATTGACATTATTATATAATATATAATATACTAGAGGAGATAAAAAAAAATAGTAAGAGCTGATCTTTTAAATATATTTATGTATATTTATGTATTAAATACAAATTCCAGATTGGGTACCCGTCTTAGTTTTTTCTTGGAAGTACAGTATGTGAGGCAAACCATACCAAGCACTAGATTCATTCTCAATTATTTCTTCCTTCTCTGTGCTCTTTGGAAATTGCATCCATGGTCTTCTGTCACTCTTAAATTTTGGATTAGAAATGAAGAGCAACGTCATGGCTTTCTGTATGCTGAAAGGTGCCATTTACCCTGTCAATGCCCTATAAATAATCCATTTTAATAATAGAGTGGGAATGCTATTGAAGGAGCTGAATCGCATTATCACTGGAGCAGAGTTCCAAAGCAACTCTTGTTAAGCTTGCTGTGGTGGGAATTTGCTGAACTGGCTGATATTTTGATGTTGACGGTGATGAATGCTGCATGAGTTATTCTGCCTCTGCAAAAACAGGAGGAGAGATTTTGAGCTGGAGAGATACTGTGTTGTGCATCAGAACGGCTACAGGCCTCAGATGAATGCTCCCATTGCCCCTCAGTGAGATGCTCCGATTTCTCAGTGGATGGTTGAATTCATATCCCACTGCTGATGGAGTTCAGTAAGCCAGGATTTGATTTGTAGTGACTTTGTATGCAGAGCATCTGGTATATTGTTGCTGGCAGGGCTTGATTCCAGACAGGAGCATCAAAGCAACCCTCACTTCTGGGCTGTTTCTGGTCGCCCCATGAAGCCAAAAACTGGGGAGGAATCAGAGTGGACTTTAGAATTTGCATTAAGTATCACATTTATTCTGCAATAAATCTAATTCATACGATTTGGGTGGTATATGAAATTAGAGCCAATCCCTGATATCTCTGTTTAAAAAGGTATCTGATAGGAGATAATTTATTGTTTAATAAATAAATGTGTTGCCATGCTGCCGGGGGAGGAATATTTATTTTTTATTTTTTATTTATTTGGATTTGTCAATCGCTTACAAGATAATAGATATAAGTATATCCATAGTTATGAATACATGAAATGGGTACATATAAGAAAAATAAAAGAAATAACAGGACAGGAACTGTACGCATGTTGGTGCGCTTATGCACGCCCCCTACAGACCTCTTAGGAAAGGGGTGAGGTCAAGAGTAGACAGTCTAAGGTTAAAGTTTTTGGGGTTTGGGGAAGAAACCACAGAGTCAGGTAGAGTATTCCAGACATTGACCACTCTGTTGCTGAAGTCGTATTTCCTGCAATCAAGTTTGGTGAGGTTAACCTTGTGTTTGTATCTATTGAGTGCTCTTGTATTGTTATGGTTGAAGCTGAAGTATTCATTGACAGGTAAGTCATTGCAATGTATGATTTTATATACCATACTTAGATCAGACCAAAGGCGCCGTAATTCAAGGTTTTCTAGGTCTAGAGTTTCAAGTCTGGTGGCATAAGGTATTCTCCAATGAGTAGAGGAGTGGAGAACTCTTCTTGTGAAATATTTCTGGACTTTCTCAACTGTGCTAATATCAGATATGTAATGTGGATTCCAGACTGATCAGCTGTATTCGAGTATTGGTGTAGCAAATGTTTTGTATGCTCTAGTTAGTAGTGTAATATTACCAGAGAAAAAGCTACGTAGGATTAGGTTAACAACTCTTAATGCCTTTTTGGCTATGTAGTTACAGTGGGCTCTAGCACTTAGATCATTAGAGATGAGTATTCCAAGGTCCTTTATAGAGTTTGGACCATCAACAAGGTCTTGACTATTCAGCTTGTATTTTATTTTCTGATCTTTTTTGCCAATATGTAAGACAGAGCATTGATTTGTTGAGATTTGAAGTTGCCATTTGTTTGGCCATTCTGATACATGATAAATATGGGTTTTTATGTTGTGGATTGTAATGTTGTAAATCACCTAGAGTCCCCTCTGTGATTTATATAGGCAATTGTACCAATTTGTTTAATAAATGAATACTTTTACTATCAAGAGCTATGAGAGTTAGAGAGGAAAATACTAATCTAGGTAACCTAGTATTACATCCACATCCACAGCTCCTCTCCATAATCCATTGTGTATTCAAAGTCTGCCTCCTAGACACTACAAAGCTGATTCAGGAACTTCTTTGGCATCTCATGAGATACTGTTTTTGTGTGCATTGTATGAGAGGATCCTTGCAATGAACCAGTTCCTCCATTGCTGATTCAGGTCCGATTAGTCAAAACTAAGTTGTGAATCCAATTATTTGCAACCAAGCTGTTATACAACTGGAACTGCGATTACCATCTTATTTTCTTGGAATTATTTATTAATAATTTTTAATAAAATTATTAAATTATTCTTTTGCTCTTACCAATAATAAAGGCTTGGAGGATAACCTTTTCTCGTGGCTTGAGCTGAGAAAGCCTCAATCCTGAAGAGATGAGATATAGAACAACCATATTTCAAAAGAAACTATAGAGCAGAATTAATAATGAAAGAGGTAATGTAGATTTAGAACAAGCTTTTTAAATAGGCATTTAAATATGTATTTTAAAAATAGAAATCACAAGAAAATCGAGAAAATGCCTAAATGCACTAAAAACATTCCATTCAATTAAATGAAACTCTGTGAAAATCGGAAATAAAACCCACAGGAAAGAAAAGAGATTTCAAAAATCCAAATTGGCTAAAGAAAAGAAAAAGGAAACAAAAGACTTTATCTATTCAACATATCAATACTCATTTACTCATTAATACCATACAATGCTATAATATAAATAATTAAAAATAATTATTATAAAATAACAAAAAAATCTCTGCTACAGTAGTATATATTCCATTTTTGATTAATAGAAAATATTGTCTTTTCTATAACAGATAAGTCATACATTTCCAAAAACCATTCTTTAACATCTGGAATAATATGAGTTTTCCAATTTTTCGGTGTAAATTTTTAGCTAACTCTGTAGCCTCAATGCTTGATAAAGCCATAATTTCTGTAAACAGATTCCAAAGCTTTGGTATATTAGTCAGCAACACATTCACATATTCAACATTTAAGGATTTCCTCACAAATCTACTTACATGCACTAAAACACTATTCCAAAAAGTTGCCAGTTGATGACTCAACCATATTGTATGTGTCGGTTGAATCTTCCAATGTTTGCACCTCCAACAAAATCTAGAACAGTCTTAAGCTTCCTAGTGCCTTCCAAATGGTGCTTTGGTTTCAATTACCACCAGCCAGCCTGAGCACTGAAGTCAGATATGCCTGGGAGACACAAACTTGCAAGTCTGATCATATTAATGTTTGCATTCTACCTATATTACACCATGAAATTCAAAAGTGTTCATTCATTCATTCATTCATTCATTCATTCATTCATTCATTCATTCATTCATTCATTCAGTCAGTCAGTCAGTCAGTCAGTCAGTCAGTCAGTCAGTCAGTCAGTATGGCTTCTGTATTGTTCAACGTAACAGAAGCTTTGAGAAGCTTACATCCAGCAATCCAAAGATTAAACCAATAACCACAATATGTGATTATAAACACCCACTAACTATCATATCCAATGAGCCCTTGTTGGCCTTACTTCCTTTCTGAGATTCCATCTGTCCAAACATTCTGGTAGACCCATAGAGAAGGGGTGGATTGTAACACAAGAGAGCAATCGGTAACACAGAGGGGAGGTGATTACTGAGAAAGGTTGACATGGGGTCTCCCTCGTTGGAATCCTCTTAGTAAAGGAAAATTTTAACAGGCTTTCTCTCCTAATCTGGGTGGGCAGATTCAAATTGGAGAAGATAATCTTGAAGATACCTTATATTCCCCCATGTTCATGGAAAACCCGAGATACTTATTGCCTCCTAATTTAGGGCCAGAGCCAGTTTGGTCTAGTGGTTAGGGCGTCAGACTAGAAATTAGGACACCATGAGTTCCAATCCTGTCTTGGGCAAGGTGGGTGATCTTGGTTAATTATTTTCTCTAGCAAACCACTTCTGGAAAATCTTGCCAAGAGAACTGCAGGGACTTGTCCAGGCAGTCTGCAAGAATTGGGCACGACTTAACAGGAGAAAAAGAGAATTAGGCTCAAAGAGATTGAATAAGCTCCCCCACCCCCCACCCCCCAAAAAAAGAAAAAAAAGAAAAAAGGTATAATTGTTAAGGCTGGTAGGAAGTCTGAGTTCCAGAGAAGAGTGGAAAACAGGAATGGATTGCTAGAAGTTGAGGGGAAAAGCTGGCTTTGGCATTTCGATTTGAGAAAACCTGTGTTTTATAACTACATTCAGGAATTTTTATAAACCTTATACCCTTGCAATATATTTACTTGATGTAGTTCCCTACCGCACACCTCACTTCAAGGTATTAATGAGTAAACCAGTGACTATCAATATGTTGAATAGCAATAGCACTTAGACTTATATACCTCTTCACAGTGCGTTACAGCCCTCTCTAAGCGATTAACAGAGTCAGCCTATTGCCCCCCAGCAGTCAGGGTCCTCATTTTACCCATCTTGGAAGGATGGAAGGCTTGAGCCTGGTGAGATTTGAAGTGCCAAATTGCAGGTAGCTGGCAGGCAGCAGAAGTAGCTTGCAGTACTGCACTCTAACTACTTGCGCCACCATAGCTCATTGTATAAAGTATTTTCTTTTTCTTTTCTTTAGAAAGTTTGGATTTTTAAAAAAATCTCTTTTCTTTCCTGTGGGCTTTTTTCTCCATTTTCACAGTTTTATTTAATTGTATGGATTGTTTTGAATGCATTTAGGCACTAAGTGTTTTCTCAATTTTCTTGTGATTTCTATTTTGAAAAGTTAAACCTAAATACATATTTTAAAAGCTTGTTCTGAATCTACATTACCACTTTCATTATTAATTAATAAATATTAAGTTAATTAATAATATTAATTAATAGATACAATATACAACAGATCTATAGGTGTGTGTGTTATCAATAAAACAGAAACCAAAACGATGACTAGCAGAGTCACTCAAATAGAAATAAAATTAAAACAGTTAAATTAAAACACATAGATTTTAATAGCATGATTTACTGTAGTGCAAAATAGCCAGTCACATTTTAGGCCCTAGTATGATGTGCAAATCCATCCTCTCTGGTTATGTGGTCCAGTGAACTTTATGAGCTGAGGAATTTGGACTAATTAACTCGTGTAGTTTAATTAATGAGCTTGGATAAATATCTCCTATGAACCGAGCCAATCTGCCTATAAACCCCAACTGCTTAAACAAATTGCCAAAGATAATGCTGAGGGGATATGCAGGGGGCGTGCATAAGTGCACCAATGTGCCTACCGTCCCTGTCCTATTGTTTCTTTTATTTTTCTCATATGTATCCATTTCATGTATTCATAACTATGTTTATTCTTATACCTATTATCTTGTAAGCGATTGACAAATCAAATCAAATCAAATCAAATCAAATCAAATCAAATAAAAATAAATGTTCAAGGGGATGGCAGCCTTTTGAGAAAGTCCATCCAAGAAGCATCAACCACTACTTTATTGTTAAGTTAAACTCCAGGTTTTTAATTAATGGAGGTAATTGAGTCCAGCAAATCTGTCACTAAGAGGCACAGTTGTAAAGCGGAGTGTCACATGACTACACCAACTTGGCAGTTCCAGTTGAGGTTATTAAGTAGATCCCGGGTGGTCATTTAGCATGATATTCCACAATCCTCATATGTGACATCCTACCAGCTTCCCTATTGGTTCTGCTTGTCAAAAGCTGGACACTAAGGTTGCAAAGGTCGATCACATGATCTGTGTCTGTCATAATTATGATCCAGTTTCCAGGTGCCTGAATCCCAATCATGCGACCATGGGAACATTGTAATGGCTGCAAATACAAGGACCAGCTCTAAATCTCCTTGTTCAGCACCGTTGTAGCTTTTTAATGGCCACTGAACAAATGGTATTAACCCAGGGTTACCTGTAACAGAATCATCTGCAATCTGAAATTATCTCTCTACTCCCTTACTTTTACTCTCCCGAAAACTAGGGAGGAGCCTTTGTGAGGCACTTTCTCCACCCCATCCGTCCTTCGGCCTCAGGTTTAGTTTATCTGACCATTATCTAGGCCAGGGAGTCTCCAAATTTGGCAACTTTAAAAAGATTGGAGAAAGCCTGTAGAGATTCTCAGTCACCAATTTAAGATTGGTGGACTTCAACTCCCAGAATTCCCCAGCCAGCAAATTTGGAGACTTCTGATCTAGGCTGCGACTCTTCCTCCCTGTCTCCTCAAGTCATTCCCACATATCATTACAGAGGACACTCCTGCAAAGGCCCAGTTTTTAATATTTGTAAATAGTTCTGGATAGTTCTTGAAGGCAGATCAATGAGCAGAAGGGGGACATTTTCAATTTAGCTCCAAATCTGTGCTTTACAAAAAAATCTATGAAATTTACTAAATTCTACATCACCCCAAATTCTTCAACCATGTATTTTTTAATTTATTTATTTTTTTGAAAGAAAAAATAAGGGAGGAGCAAAAAACATACAGACCTCTGAAAGAAACTGTTCCAGTAGTTGGGAGATATACTCTTCCCTGCCCTTCTGGCTTGGAGAGGTGCAGCAACTCTAATTTGTTGCATCCTATTATTAAATTTTTGGATAAAATCAAAGTTACATGTATTTCATGATTATCATAGTACCATATTTTAGACTTGTATTGGACCTCTGTTTTGTTATTGTGGGCACAGGTCAGAATGACAAGGAATCAGGAAATTGTGCTGTATACTGCAAGCCCGGTGCTTCCTAAGTCTTGATCATCCTTTCGCTTCTTTCTGATTTTCAGATCCAGCTTGGAAGCAGCCATCTGGACAAAATAGCACTGTGGTCTCCGCTACATCTGCTCGTGTTCCAGCTACCTCTCGCCGTGGGCTAATCCAAGTCACCACGCAAAGAGTTGTGCAGCACCCTCAGTTGCCTAAGCCAGATCCAAGCCTGCCTGCCATGCCCCCTGCTTCCAGTCCACCTTGCCCCCGTCTTGGAAGCACCTGCCACCAGCTCTTGCCCAACAAGACCTTTCTGCGCTGGGGGGAACTTGAGCAGACGCTGAGTTTTGCCTGGGCACTGCATGTCTACGGCGCTGGAGGGCTTTTTCTGCTGCTAAGCCTGTTGAGCTTGGCGTGTCTGGGGGTATCCCTTTCGTTGCACAGGTCACAGCTCCCCTATGTCCTGGCTGCCAGTGGTCTGCTCCTGGTGTTTGGGGTACTGCGAGCCACGTTCTTCCTGGCTGACCCCTACGGCTCTCTGGGCCGACTGCCTGCCCGTGCTATGCGACTGCTCTACACCGCACCTTTCCCTCTGCTGCTGAGCACCTTCACGGTACTTCTGCTCCGCCTGGTTCATCAGGCTCGGCTACAGGTCTTGCCCTCCAGATGGCAGAGCTTGCCATTTTGGGCTGCGTTGAGCTCCCTACACAGCCTTGTTCTCTTGGGGGCTGACTTGTTGTCCCCTGCAATGCACTCAGCTGTGTCTGTGGGACTCCACACCCTTTCCTGTACTGCCGGTCTCTGCCTCCTGCCGGCCACTGTGTTTGTGTACTGGCTGCTGCGGCATAACCAGGGGATAGAGGGCACCCTGGAGCCAGGCATATGGCGGGAAGCCTGGGTGTTGTTGGCAAGCAGTGGGTTGGTACTGCCATGCTGCGTCCTGCAGTTCTACGGGGTACTGTGGCTCTCGGGGGCATTGGGACAGCCGGACGTTTTCACCTGGGGCTGGTGGTTTGTGCAGTTCTGGTTCCGGATTGGCGAACTGGCACTCTCCTTTATCCTGGTCTCGCTGGCTTGGCAGGCACTTTGCCGGCACCACGATACCACCGAGCATTCTTGCTGGGCCAAGCTCCTGAGCTACTTCTGTGCCTACCGCAAGGCTGAGGTGCCAGAGTACCCCAACAATTGCTATGATTGGCCTGGCGGAGTCCTGGAGAAGATACCCAGTCACAACCTCAATAATAACTTGATCCGGAACTCCCCCGCCGGTGGGCTACTCTGGGGTCTCAAGGACAGCAATGACCTGCGAGCAGGACCCGGCCAGGGCGCTAGCCCCTCTCCGAGGCGTGCAGGCTACAGCCCCAAGTGCCCCAATGTGGCTGTGGCAGCAGCAATGGGCCGCTCTTACACCAGCATCTGTTTCGAGAGGGAGTCAGTCCTCTCGTTGGCTGACTTGGAGTTCCGCCCACCCTCGCCCATCAACCTGAGCCGCAGCATCGACGAAGCGCTCTTCCGCGAGCACTTGGTGCGCGATTCGATCTTCCTGCACTCTAGCCTGCGCTTCCCAGCGCGCCAGGACTCCTGCGCCTCGTTGCGTGGCGACTGCTCCACACTGTCCCATGCAGCCCAGCCCCTGCTGGCCCAGCCCCGTCGGAGCAGCGACCCCGATTGCCTTTACAGTTTAGCGCGGACCAGCTCAGTGGGAGATCTGATTGGCCGAGGCCTAGCTAGCGAGCCCGCCACGGACACATCACTGGGCAGCTTCTCGCGCACCTCCTTCTCCCGGGCGTCCCTGAAAATCAGCTGGAACCCCTGGCGCCATGGGGTGTCCTCTCCCGAAAGCCTGCCCTCAGAGGAGCTGCCCAGCCAACAGCACCAGGCGCAGGCAGAGGATCTCCCTCCGGCACCATACAGCAGCGCTCCAAACTCCGAACATGAGGCCCGCAAGAGCTTTCTGGCACTCAGCAAACAAGTGGATTCCCGCAGCCTCTCAAGTGACACTATTGAATTGTAAGATGGGACGGGGATGGTGGAGGTGGGGGCTAAAAACCTGTCCATTATTGGGGAATGAAAAGCCTGCTGGGAGGCTGGAGAGTGGGGCGCTCAGAGCAATCCCACTCCCTTTTTAAAAGCTGCAGGGCTTTTTGCAGCCACAACCATTTGTGAAATGAACCCACAGAGGGCAGGGCCAAGCCTCCCTTGTAGTGCCTGCCACTGTAATAATGACTTAAAGCACACCCTATGCTTGCCAGCCTCCCAGTTTTAAGGGCTGTACTGTAGCAACAGGCAGTTCCCCAGAAACCTTGTAGCATGAATGCCGAAGGAAGACATAGTTTGTTTCTGGCATTGAGGCCTGAGAAAGATGCTCTTGGAGAGAAGGCAGAGTGGGGCAAGGAGATTGGGCGGTGGGTGGCCTAGGGAAGCTTTGCATGCTGAACACCCCCTACTCCCCCCGTTGCATAAACCAGAGATTCTCAACCTCATCAACTTTAAGGTACAGGTAATCCTTGACTTACAACAGTCCATTCAGTGACCAAAGTTACAGCAGCACTGAAAAAAAGAAAGTTATGACTATTTTTCACACCACCATTACAGTACCCCCACAGTCATGCGATAAAAATTTGGGCGGTTGGCAACTGGTTCATATTTATGACGGTTGCAGTATCCCTGAATCACATGATTTCTCCCTTTTGCAACCTTCTGAAAAGCCAAGTCAATGGGGAAGCCAGATTCACTTAACAACCATGTTCCTAACTTAACCCCTGCGGTGATTCATTTAACCCCCCCGTGTGGCAAGAAAGGTCATAAAAATCACTGAACAAATGTCTTGCTAAACGAACAGCCATTTGGGGCTCGATTGTGGTCATAAGTCAAGGACGACCTGGGTTGGCATGCTAACTGGAGAATTTTGGGAGTTGGGAGTCCGTGCATAGAAGATGGTGATAGCACAGTTAGCAAGGCCCGGAGGGAATTTAACCCAAGTCCTCATGGTGCCCATGATGAGGTGATAATCCTGAGCTCATTTAGCAACGGTCAAATAAGATGTCTTCAGGTGGAGCTCTATAACATGCAATTTGTCTTGTGAATCATAGAACTTGCTGAGGTTTCCTGTTCAGCATCTGTAGCTCAGAGGGCGGGGATGAATTCCCACTGCTTCACCTTTTTGTTTAGAAAGGTCAAGTCTCACGATGGGGACAGAAAATGTGAACTGCAGATAATCTCTCCTTGTCTACCAAAATAGGTGCAACCTTTCCCCATTCAGATGCACAGATAGCAGATACAAATGTCTAGATGCATTTTCAAATGCAACGGAAACCATCTTTTGATCTTGATCTTTAAAAAAAAAGAAGTTTTCAGAGTCTCTTCAGACAGACTATACTGTCTGTGCATCTTTTAATCGGTCCACAGATAGTCCTCAATTTACAACCATGTGTTTAGTGGCTGTTTGAAACTACAACGGCACTGGAAAAAGTGACCCAGGACCAGGGCTGGGATTTTACCGATTCGGCCCGGTTCTATAGAACTGGTAGCTCCGAAGAGCAGCTGACACCGAATCGGTTTGCTCCGAAGTTCTTCTTTTCTTCGGTTTGGCCCACCTGCCTACCTGGGCTCTAGGCTGTCCTTTATTCCCTGCTAAAGAAACCTTGGTTGCTTTGTGCGGCACAGCTGAGTGTCGCGCATCAGCAGGAGAAGGTTTTTCCTTACAGGAGAAGTTGATTTACAAGTACTGTGCAAAGCGTGCGCTCACCGAACCGGTTGTTATGCCGGTAGGATCCCATGACCATTTTTTTCACACTTAACGACTGTTGCAACATCCCCACAATCACGTAATCAAAATTCAGATGCTTGACGACTGGCATGCATTTATGACGGTTGCAGTGTCCTGGGTCATGGGATCACCTTTTGCGACCTTCCGACAAGCAGAAGCCAGATTCCCTTAATATACGTGTTAACAACTGCAGTGATTCACTTATCGCTTAACAACTGTGGCAAGAAAGGTCATAAAATGGGGCAAAACTCACTTAACAACTATTCTGCTTTGCCATGGAAATTTGGGGCTCAATTGTGGTCGTAAGTCGAGGGCTACCTGTATTCCACTATTTATTTTTTTGAATCCAAATCCAAAACTTGCCTGAAATTCAAACCTTCATCTGGATCCTGGTGGGGGGCGGAGGAGAACAAGAGTTGTACACTGGAGTGGAAACTGTAGAGATAATGGTTCTCAAAATAGCACAATTTGTATTTGCCCAGTATTATCTTATCGGTTGCTGCAGTGGCGGAAGAGAAGACGGTTCAAGCTGTCCAGATTTGAAGTTGAACCTGAAGCTGCTGAATGTTTTTGTGGTCTATTTGTGCCAAAACAAAATAAAAAACTTTTGCTGGAGGATCATATGTCTTGAAGTCTGCTCTTTATGTCGATTTTAAATAGGGGAGGCTTACCTCATCTCTAATGCAGTTAAATCATAGTAATTAATATATACAGTATATGCAGGTGCAGTGATTAGAATGCAGTTCTGCAGGCTATTTCTGCTGACTGCCAGCAGTTTGGCAATCCAATCCTCACCAGTTCAAGGTTGACTCAGCCTTCCTCCTTCTGAGATTGGTAAAACGGACCCAGATTGTGAGGGACAATAGACTGGCTCTAAAACCGCTTACAGGGGGCTGTAAAGTACTGTGAAGTGGTATATAAGTCTAAGTGCTATTGCTATATTTGATCATCATTACTTAAGCCATTGTCTATCCACTGCAGAATGAAGGCCTCTTCCATATACTGTATTTCCAACCAATACGGTCCTGAGCTTTCTTTTGCCAATTGGGCACACAATACTTGATGATGTCCTCCATCCATCTTGTTTTAGGCCTCTTTTGTGGATGCTTCTTATCAAGTGGGATCCATTCTATGACTGCCTTGGTCCACCTGCCATCAGTTCTTCTACCTACACACACACACACACACACACACACACTTCATTTAGTGACTGTTTGAAATTACAACAGCACTGAGAAAAGTGACTTATTTTCACCCTTATGATGTTGCAGCATCTCCTTCGCCACAGGATCAAAATTTGGATGCTTGGCAATTTATGACAGTTGCAGTGTCCCGGGATCATGTGATCACCGTTGTGACCTTCTGATAAGCAAAGTCGATGTGAGGAAGCCAGATTCACACTTAACAATCGTGGTACTAAAAACCATAGGGATTCCCTTAACAACGATGCAAGAAAGGTGGTAAAATGGAACAAAACTCATTGAACTGTCTCATTTAGGAACAGAACTTTTGGGTTTGATTGTGGTAGTCAAGGAATACCTAAAAACAGTTAAATGTAAATATGACCTGGGACGTAAGGCTGGAGCTTTACTTTTTCCTTGCTATCTGAAACAAAGAATTGGAAGCGGATGTATAAGAGTTTCCTACCTAATCTGGGGGTTGGACTAGAAAACCTCCAAAATCCCTTCCGACTGTTATTCTAGAGATGTTTATGGAGATTCTCAACCATCCAGGTCATGGTTGTCCCAAAGGTGCTTTGTTCAAGAGGTAACTGGGCTTTCTGGTTTTTCTTTGAAGACCTTTCGCTTCTCCTCCAAGAAGATTCTTCAGCTCTGACAGGATAGTGGGGAATGGAGAGATTATTCTAGAGCAGTGGTGGCAAACCCTTTTCGGCTCACGTGCCAATAATTGCGCGCACGTTTGTGTCAGGGGTGGGATTCAAATTTTTTAATAACTGATACTGTGGGTGGCTTAGGTGGTGGGTGTGGCTTGGTGGTCATGTGACTGGGTGGGCGTGGCTTGGTCATGTTATTCATTGGGTGTGGCCAACTCAATATCACTCACATCGAGGCACACATCTCCTCTCCTGGCCTCTCATGATTGTGGGGATGCTACAATAGTCGTAAGTGTGAAAAATGGTCATAAGTCACTTTTTTCAGTGCCATTGTAACTTTGGTCACTCCACACAAGCAAAGTACCAGCAAAGAAGGGGAAAAATACTCCAGAGAAGTTCCTGAGACAGGAAGTCTAGTCCTGCCGAGAATGTAATAAGGGTTAATAGAGAGGCAGTTTCTGTAAGCAACACCAGAATGTTTCCTTCCTGCCTTCCTTACAGGATTAGGCTAGTAATTTCTTCTAACAACCGGTTCTCCGAACTGCTTAGAATGTTAACAACCGGTTCTAGCAAATAGGTGCGAACTGGTAGAATCCCACCCCTGGCTTGTGTGCTCGTGCTCACGTACCACCACCCAGAAGGCAATGCATGCTGCCCCTCCAGCCCTGAGCATGCTCACGTGATCCCCCTGCCATGTGCTATGCATCTGCGCATGCTTGTGTGTCTCCCCTGCATGCCCCCCCTGCACATGTGCGCCAGATACCCGACAATCAGCTGTCGGGCGGCACCAGCGCATACGCATGTGTAGTGGGGCTCTTCCGGGCGAGCTCTCGCTTGCCGGCAGAAGTGGCTCAGTGTGCCACTTCCAGCATGCATGCCATAGGTTCACCACCATGGTTCTAGAGGTGTTTATCTTCCTTTCTGGCAGGAAGAATCCTACCTTGGAATCTGCTCAGCACTCCTGGAAAGGAAGAGCAGAAGATTTTTCCCAGTTTATCTTTTTAACAGATTTAACAGAGTTGGAAGGGACCTTGTAAGGTCTTCTTCCAGTCTTCTCTTCAACCCTCCCAAGTGTTCAAGGACAGCAAAGGTGGGGAAGGTCCAGGATTTGAATTCTGTTCCATTGAACGCTGCCAAAATTGCCCATTAAATTATTTCCATGAAAAGTCCATTTGTTCTTTCCTTCCTTTTAGAAAGACACCCCAACCAGCAGCAGCACCTGATTGGCTGTTTCAGAAAGTCGAATCATGACAACTGGTTTAATTTTTGTTAGCTCGAGACATCTCGCTGCTCATTCAAGCAGCTTCATCGGTCAGAGCGAGTCGGTTAGGCAGGGAGTCGTTGGAATGTACCAACTCCTGCCGCACCAACCTCGAGGGTTTCCTCCTCAAAATGTGTTGCAATTTGTCGA